ACTATAGTCTTGTTATCATTGTGCAGAATATTTAGCAATGTAAGGGTAAAACCTCAGCTCTGTTGTAAGATAATGTGCTTCTCACTGTTCTTTCTGCAGTCCGTCTAAATCATTGAATTTAATTTCCCTGTGGTTAAAATAGCCTGTTTTCTGCAACCATATGAATAGTCTATCCCCCAGTTATCCATAAGGCTATTGAAGATGATATATTTGCAGATGATATAGTCGAGACCGCTAGCTTTTGAAAAGGTACTTCTGGAGGTGTTTTCTGTCACGTCCAACATAAATCAAGATTGACTTATTTTAAGCACCTCAGAAGGGCAGTTGTAATCTCTGAAGTTTGGTTCCACTCCTGAACCATACATATTAAGGCTCTCAACCTTTCCTTCAAGATGAAGGAAAACTATAAGAAAGAAGTGGTAGCAGAGATTAGCTAATTTTTCTTTTAATACACCTGGGATAATCTACTGGTTTTGCARCTCCGAACCTGTTTTACTTAGCTGTGTTCTCTGCTTTCGTCAACTTGCTTTCATTATGGGAATTTTTCTAGTGGAATAAAATTAAAATAGTCGTGATTTCATTTAGGGCAGATGTTTTTCAGGCTTYAGAAAAGAAAAACAGGGACTCCTCTCCTCACTGAGAGCAAGTTGAAGTTTAAGCAATGTAGTTTCTTTCGAAAGAAGATAGCTTTGTTCTGGGAAGAAAGTTTCTTCTATCACACAGTTTGAATACAACTTTTTTTAGGATGGTTAAAGTGCTGGCTTTGCATGGCTGAAAAAGATTTCTCCCTTGTTATCAGAATAGTTCATAAAAGGCATGGAATTATTTTTGGATTTGGGTTTAGTTGGGTTTTTTTTTCCCCTTCATTTCTCACAACAGTCAGTAGGGGGATCTTGATAGTTCTAAGTTCAGATACTCCTCTTATTTGGGATGTGTTTTCCTGGTAGCACTTGGAAATGAATGTAGTGTAGAAATACTGTAATACAAGGTGGAAGTTTCCAGTATCTCGTACAGGTAGTACAGAATTCCCACTTTCTTCTCCATTTGTCAGGCAATCAATTTCATACACTATGGGCAGATCTTAGTATTGGTTCTTTTGCTTTTCCGTCTTGGACATGGTGATGCCTGCTCTGCAGCCACCTTATTACCTTGAATTACAATGCAGCATACTGCCTACGGTATTGGCACACCTTACAAGTTCCAAGAGCCTTAATAAAAATGCAAATATCCCAGGTTACTATGACTAACGTGAGTACGGCTTTCTAGTAAGTGTTACAGTTTGCATTGAGAATGACTGGATCTGAACAATTTGTTTCATGATGGTTCCAGATGATTGGCACTGGGCTGAGTTGTTCAACTCTGTAACTGTATACCTGCAGTGATGAGGTATGTAGTGTGTGGCTGACAACCAGACCTGGAGAGTTCTTAGAGTGTAACCTCTCATGCAAGAAAATTACCTCCTCATGCAAGAAGTCATGAGACACTTCTCAACATTCTTCAGTAGTTTCTATAATAGTTTTCAGAACTTATAAAACACCAGCATGCACAAGCTAATATTGCTACTTAGAGAATATGTGGCTATAAAAATTGTATAGGTGTGAAATAGTAAGTCTAACTAGTTCTGTGTAAGCAATACCACACAGTTCCCTTTTCTCTTTGATGCTTATAGAAAAGATATTTTAATAATTATTTATTTTAAATTAACAGCCCTAAAATCAGAAGACATACTTAAAAGCATGCAAATCCAAAACAAGTGATGGATGTGCAGCATTTTCAGTACTTTCAGCCATCTTCTTCTATAGGACAGAATTTTGCTACATTTTCCTAGACAGGACAGAATTTTGTTGAGTTTTTCAAACATATCCATGCTAAGTGCAGGAAATCTGGCCATTAGTGATGTTTTCAAATCTGGAAAATTTGGACTTGGGTGCCACTCAAGAAATCTTGTGTATCACCTTCCATCATTTAAAACTGATACTGTGCCAGCCATTGGCTAGGATATCCCTACACTTGTTGATCTACTGCAAAAAACCCCCAACCCCACCTCTGGTTATACATAGATATATATAGTGGGGCAGGTTTTTTTGGTTTGGAGTTCTTTTTAATGGCATTTTTTCCTGAAATCTCTTTGGGCAGAGCAGATCATCCAGGTGCTGAGCTGTTTGAGGATGATCATCTCACACTCTGCATGTGAACCTCCAACCTACTGTATCTTTCTTTGTGTTTGCTTTCATTGAAAGTATTCATTAGGTTAAGTCTTTGCTACACCAGACTGCTCTACTGATTCAACAGTCCCATTTTTAGTAGCTGTATTGCTATTTATTATATTAGAATACTGCATAGTCAGTTAGAATGAGGGCCTCATTGAGATAGGCTGTGAAAAAAATGAGTAAAGGTTTATTTCTGCCCTGAAGACACACAGTCTAAATAGATGAGAAGAATTGAAGAAATAGATACAAATAGCTGCAAAAAGGGTAGCTTTTGCAAGTGGTGTCTAAAATATATTTTCTGCATAGCAATTTTTTTTCTCTTCCAAGTGTTCTTTTAGTGATTTTGACAATGAGCAGATGCCAGAATTGAGAGTTAAAAACAAAATTTCTATGTTGGAAGCCATATTATCCTTATACTGACTTTAATATCTGTACAATATTAGCATTTGAGACTGCAGGAACTTAACTTCTTTACTTGTTGGTGTTACATTGCAGTCAGTTTTGGTGAACCATACAAAGTTTGTCCCTGAAGGTAAAATTACACTGTGTGCATGTTCCTACCAGACTGCTTTGGGGATAAACATGTCTTAAATCAACTCACCACTTGCAGCTGAATTCTTTCTACAAAGGCCGTTTCTGTGTGGATGATAATGTTCAGAAAGACTGATTTTCCATAAACCATAAAGGTTTTTGAATATAATTCTATCAATAAATGTATTTGAGCAGGATGGCAAAGAATTCTTATAATCCTAATAAAGATTTGGGATTTTAGTGGAAAGAAAGGAGGGGCATATACCAACATTGTTAATTAGCTTTCGTCATCACCTCCAGTTTGATCAAATGTGTTCCAAACATTTGCATATTGTGTTTCCTCACATTTACATATTAGGAAGTTTTGGACTTCATCGAAGCTTTTTTTTGTAATTGTACCTTTGGAAAATTAAATTTGAAGTTTGTGGTACCCTGGCTCCTATTTGCTTGGATCATTGTTGGTTGTTAAGATGCCATCACTTGAGACCTTTGCTAGAGAGATGTTTCTGTTGGAGCTTGATATACTGTGGGTTCAGAYAGATGTAAGTGTGGCTTCTTGGACTAAAGAATACCGCCTGGGTTTGTACCCAGATATTCTTGGATTAATATTCTGAGACTTAGATATTGTCTGGAATTTAAATACAGTTCCCCGAGCTTTAGAGAGAAGGCAAGCACCATTTCAGCCTCTTAATGAGTCTTTTTCTTTTTTTCCTCTTTAATTTACATTTTTTTTCAAACTCTTGTAGCCACTGAAATCTAGGCAGTAACTTCCAAACCATTTTTACAGCCTAAAATGGACAAAGTGCCTGTTTATTCCTCTGTTTAATTCCCAAATTAATAATAATTAGAAAGTTCCTACATTTACATCTCTATTTTTCTTGTAATATGTGTGGGCAGAAAGAAATTTCCCTAGAGAGTAGTCAAGACTTTGAAATGTGAACAACTTTGTTACATTTGAGATGGCAAGTTTTTTGTTTCAACTAGGTTGATTTTTGTGGATTTTGTGGGGATTTTTTTTATTTTATGGTGGGTTTTGGTTTGTTTTGGTTTTTGTTGTTGTTTGTGGTTTTTGTTCCTTTTATTTGTTTATTTTGGGCTTTGTTTTGTGGATGTTTTTCTGGTGTTTTGGTGTTGGGTGACGGGGAATAACAGGTCACGCAGACACTAATATGAGGAGCATGATTTGTTTATTTCTAATACAAGTTCTTTTTTATCTACTTTCATAAGCCAGCCTCTCTATATGATTAGCAATTATTCATTGGTTAATTTAGCAATCTGTCTATTACATCTCAACATATAAATGATATATTTACAAAAACATTTTTATATACCTTACAATTTTAAATCAACATTTTCAACATTTTACTCCTTCTTCAATCATTATTTTATTCTTCAATTACTCTTTATTCTTACTTCTTACTATATTTCTTCTTCATAATCAATACAAAATACGTGTTACACTATTGTAATCACGTCCTCCTCTTTCCCATCCTCTTCTATTTCATCCTATTCTATCTTATAATCTAAGTTACTCAATAACAACAATTCATAACTTCGTTCCCATAGAAACTTATCTAACAAAAATCCACCTAACACAAATCCTTCTACATTTTGGTTTTGTTTTTTTTCTTCTTTGATTGCTCGCTAAAACTATACCTTTTGTTTCAGGCCTGAAATTTCAATTTTATTCCTACTTGGAGGAGAGACACATAAACTCCCCCATAGTGGGSAATCTGTTTGGGGTTTTCTTCTGTTTAGGAACCTTTGATCCATACCTCCCGTGTTTAGTGAGTAGAAATGGCAAGGTAACTTACGCTGAGAATGGCCACAGATCTTCTCTCCACGTAAATCATGAGGTAAACCTGGAGGGGAGAGGATTTCAGAAGTCTGCTAGTGGAGAAAATGCTTTAAAAATATTTTGCTACAAAGAGAGCCTTTCTTGTACGCCTGAGTATATATTAATTGGTTAAAAACCTTAGTTTTGAGGCACCTAATTATGCACACAGCAGTGCAAGATGGATTCACAGGTACAGTTACCATTCTGTTGTACTGGCAAGGAGCATTTTCTGTGGAACAGAGAGAATTTTTTTATCTAAATCTCTAAGTTCTATAATTAGTTATATAGAAAAGGATTCAGAAAAGTGGCAAAATGTATACAAGTACTTAGAAGTTTAACAAATTATCCTTTAAGTTGTCTGCCTGTATGTCATTACTGTAAATGGTTTGTTATCTGGTGGCATATATTTTTTTTTCTTTCAGATCATTACTAAATACATTTATGARCTACTGCAGAAGGAGTGCCACTTGAAGAAAGTGACTCTTCCAGTAAGTATAATTTATTTTCTTGAAAGGCATTGTTTTTTTGAATCTGTACCCAGCGTAGCCTGTGATCCCACATTCAGGTAAAGACAAGRTGTGCCAGAAGTCTGTGCAGGGCATTGTCTTGGGACACTGCATGTGTGTACATCTGGAGATGTGGTTCCATCTCACTGTCCATGTGTTTGATGTCTCCAGCTGAGTCTTCCTTACCTTACCAGACCAGAATTTTCAAAATTTGATGCTTTTAATAGGAGAGTCATAAGCTTTCTAAAAAGCGTCTGTAAGTGTTTTGAGATGTCTACAGCTGGATGCARAGAATAGAAATGCCTTTGCAGGCAGAGGACTACACTCACGTTGGATATCAGTAAACTACTCCAAGTAATATTTRAAAAAATGCTTTTTCAGTAACTTATGTATGTAACATAGATCTGTTRTTTAGTGAAAATATTTGCTCAACCCTTGGAAGTTAAGAAGTGTTTCCCACACATCAGAGTATTACATTGATACATGTGATGTGATATGATGATGTTTAGGAATTTTTAYATTCTATACTGGAGAGTGCAGAGGAGACTTGAGTGGGATAGCGCTGTTAGGTTTTTCATCATTATGGAGGATTCCTGTGCTCTTTGAAATCTTTTGATTCACTGTTGCTCTTAGCCAATCCTTCATACTAAGTGAAGAAAAACCTGTTCAGGCTAAGGAAGGAAAAGGTCTTTTGCTTTAACAGTTCAGTAGAGTTTCACTGTTCCCATTTCCATTTCCTGAGTGTTGCTTAGGGAATGTTTTGATAACCTGCCCAARCTACTAACAGTTTCGTAGAAGGGCTTTTTCATTGTCTCATGGTCATGGCTGAAAGACCTGAGCTGTGAGGTTCACACAGCAGTCAAAGGGCAAGCAGCAGCTCTCCTCCATACCCGTTGCCTGGTGGTTACAATAATGCCCCAAGAACTGAGACTGTTTAAGAGATCATTTCCCCACTTCAGATTTTTCTTTGTGGACAAGGCCACAAAGGATAGGATTAGGTTCATCATGACAGTCTACCCAGTGCACTGCTATTTATGATCTCCTATTTCTAGGAGTTTTCTTTGTTGGTGAAGTTTTGGTCCAAGAAGTACTTTCATATATACCAAATAATGTGTCAAAAGACTTCTCAAGCCATGTCACTCTTAGTGAAACCATGAAACTGATATTTATAAACTCAAAGTGCCCAACTTTTAAGGCTATAGGACTTCCTTTGATTCCTGAAAAGGAATATAAGGAATATATATATAAATAATGCAGTGCTAAGGCTGATCAATTAGCTCCAAAATACGAAGATGAGGAAACTTGGGGTAAGTATTACAGCACCTGCATCACCTGTGGTGATCGTCATACCTATGGTGATGCAAATACCTGGCTCTAAGACTTGGTTTTCTGGGCTTGGAAGAGGAATGGCCCTGGCTAACTCCCATTTCTGGATTAATCTGTTTGCTTGTATTTAGAAATTTTGTGATGCAGTTGAGCATGGATGCAGTTGTTCAGTAATACATTTAAGGTATTCTCAAATGTGTGACTTCCAACTTCTTTGAAATGCTGTAATTTAATTCAATTTTGCAGCAAAGTAAGAACTCACAAAATATGCAAATGTCTGATTGTGAGCATTGTAGAAAAATTGACACGAGGTATGAGCACTGGTGATCAGGAATGTCTGTTATGTATAGCAAGCCCTCACCRCAGTCAAAAATAGCTTATGAAGGCACATACAAAAGTGAAAAATGGAAATAATTTATGTAGAAGCTGAAAAATTAAAGCTGTGTAAAAGCTAGGTTTAATCACTGCCACTGACAAATTCCCAAATAACAACACAAAAACCTCTAGTTTAAACTAGTGAAGGCAACTAATAAAAATAATAAGATAGCACTTAGGATCAGAATAGAAGAGAGTATAAACTTGGTAAGATACATATCAAATCAAAGGAAGATCAGAAAAACTGAGTTTGAGGAGCTTGTTGAGTTGTAAAGGCTAATAATAAAAGAGAGCTAATGAGGCCAATAAATGAAGTGCAGCTAAAATGAACACCCAGGTCAAATAAAAAAAAAACTAACATCATTATTTCCAGTAATACTTGTCCAGTTTCTAGACACTTTTTTTTTTCTAAACAGGATATAGTTCTGAGCAACTGTCTGAAATTTGTCATATCAGTAGAAGAGACCTTAGGACAGTTAATATATTGTACAACAAACAAATTCCAGGATGAGATTTTTTTTGAAACCTAGTGTTCTGTAAGAAGTCACATACAAAGCTGCTAACTGCTGAAATCAGCTGCTAATAATATATTGGAGAAAATGAGTACCAGTTTCTTTTTTAAAGTAAAACTACTAGAATTCATTGCAGGAGTCAGAGATCACCGGTCAGTAAAAGACTACATGTATTTCCAATGTTCTGTCAAAAAACTTAACAAATGCTTTAAAAAAGCATAGGAGAAGGAAGTCCCCTTATGAGTTAATTGGTAAAAAGGGGAAAGAGGTGTTCATATATTACAGATGAAACAATCTGTTACTGGTGGAATGCTATTAAGACCTGACATAGTTGTAAACAAAAGGAAAAAAGGAATTGATACAAGCTAACAAACTTCTCTATTTTTTTTCCTAAAATTATTTGGGATAGTTAAACCTAAAGCTGATTATGATGGTTGGGAAATTATTTCTTGATKCTGCATAACTGGATTATTAAATGACAGGAGATTCAATTGTGGTAAACATGAAATTATGAGGAAGATAACTCACTCTGTAAACACAACAGTGGCCTCTAAATGAGCTATTACAACTCAGGAAAGAGCTTAAAGTAATTGTGAGTAGTACTCTGAGAACGTTAGCGAGTGCTCAATGGCAGACAAAAACCCTCAAACCAAATAGGATGTTAGGAATTATGAGGTATCGAGAACAAAACAGAAAAACATCGTCATTCCATTCATTATGTGGGCCCTCATGTTAAACTCTGCATGAAGTCTGGACACCATATCAAAAAGGATGTGAAGAATTAAAAAAAAAAATACAGAGGAGTGTTATAAAGATGATCACAGGCATGAAATGCTTTTCAGACAAAAAAAGATTAAACAAAGGTTCTTCAGCTTGGAAAATAGATGACTGAGGAAGGAATATGACAAATCTATAAAATCATGAAAGGTGAAGAGAAGATGAATAGGGAATGGTTTTTGCTTTTTTCATAATAGAGAACCTAAGGGGCATCAAGTTTAAATTATCAGGCAGGAGATCTCTACTGAAAGAGGCAGTGTTATATCATATATGTCCCAATTATATTGTGGAAGTCATTGCCACTGAATACTATCAAGGAGAGAGGTATAAATGCATTAAAAAAAAAAAAAWTTGACAGTGTTAAGGTGGGATAGGTGCCTTGCACTACTGTACATGCTTGTCCAGTTATATAAACTGGCTTACAAGGTTCCAAAGTTACTGGCTGTCAAAACCACGGTAGAATCAACTCTGTATCTATACTCTGTTACTGTTCCCTTACCCAATCTGCCAGTTGTTAAAAATAGAGCCCTGGGACCTTGGTCTGACAAAGATGGTTCTTACATATATACAACATTCGTATACTAATATTTCAGAGGTACATACAATAACCTTTTTCTTTTGACCTCATTGCAGGTGATCAGGAAGTGGATATATTGGCTTTCCTTTTTCCGTCTGCTAAGGAAGTTAACAGTGACATGGTTTCTGAATATTCGAAATGTCTTTCAGGACTATGTTCGGTGGAGTGTGATTTTAGTAGGGAACGGAAATGCTATGCTTCAGAGGTTAAGCATGATGGCATTTCATGTTCTCTCATCTTCCTTAATTTCAACCTTGTGTGCAAAGTCCGATTTTCTGTCCTTGTTTTACTTTCTCAGGTGTCAGCTTCAGTTTTTGGATACAAAAAGTTTATTAATTTCTTTTCAGATATGAAAACAAGACCAGTTGGCAGATTAGGAGAGCTTGGCCATTATTTTATTATGCCATCATTTTGGATCAGATAATTCTGAACATTTTTTTCTTACACAGGGAGGCCGAGATCCATATTGCATTATTGTTACTGTATTTTGCTTCTAAATATTAGTGTTCAGCATATACTACTGGACTTGAAAATTTTTATCAAGAGTCTCATATTAAGGTAGAGGCCATTCAGTTGCTACTTCTGAATGTTCTTTTTATGGTCCATTGAAGGTTCTGTTAGGAATAGAAAGAAGACTGCATTGTTTTTTGATCCAGGTGAAATATTTTATTTCTYCACTTTTAATAACATAATCAGTGATTGATCCTTGTTCTTCTTTAGCTGTTGAGGACAAATAGAGCATGCTTCTGAATTAATGACATCTTCGACAACTTGTGGGAAAGCTTGAGATGGAAGTTTAAATAATTACTAACATGATGTGGTGGTTTTAAGCCCAGCTGGAAATTAAGCACCACACAGCCGCTTGCTCAACCCCCTTTTACCTCCCCCAACCCCAGTGAAATGGGTAGGAGAATCAAAGTAAAATTTGTTGGCTGAGATAAAAACAGTTTAATAACCTAATGCAAAGTAAAATCAGTGATAATGATAATTTATAATAATAAAACAAAAACAAGTGATGTGTAATTCAATTGCTCACCACCCACTGACAGATGCCAGACCCCCATTTCCCAAACCCAGATCACCCAGCCATCTGGGTAACTCCTACCAGTTTATATCCTGGGCATGACATTCTGGGGTGTGGAATATTCCTTTGGTCCATTCAGGTCACCTGTCCCAGCCATGCTCCTTCCCAGTTTATTTTGCCTACCTTCCACTGGCCGAGCATGATACAAGGAAAAGAAATTATTTAACTTTGGATAAACTCATCTTAGCAAAAAACCAAAACATCAGCGTGTTATGAACACCGTTCTTGTACTGAAGCTAGAGCACAGCGCTGTAAAAACTACTGAGAAGAAATTAACTCTGGTTGAAACCAGCATATGTGTTTAATTGGCAGTGATACTGAAGTGTCTCACCTTGCAGAATCTTCTAAGCTATCAGTGCAAATTCACAATGTTTTTTCCTAATTACAGTGTTGTAAGTATGTAGTTTATGGGTAGAAGTCAATTACACTTTGCCGAGTACCATCTGAGATTTGTTGTTGGCTGACTTTTTACCTAATCTGTGTTACCTTTTAAGGTGTCAATACTGCTATCTCAGAAGCAGCAGAATGATCTGACTGTAGCCCCCATATAGCACTTGTACTTACGTATTCTAAACTCTTTTCAATAGAACCAATTCTTTACCATATTTTCTATTTTCTCACAAAGTGTGAGAAATAGTACAGTTTGTGGTGCAAACTCTGAGGCACATGAGATGTTACTTTATTTTGGAGCAGGGGAATAAGGTCCTCAGTGCTCTGGCCAATATTACCGAGAGACATGACCATTTTTTCACTTATGAATTTGTTTTGTTCAAGTAGCCTCATTGACTTCATTAAAAAAATACTTGGTAGGACCTATATTTAGAAAAGGTCTGAAGATTCATGCAGAATTAATTTTTCCTATGGTAAAGATAGCTAAGAATGCATACCCATATATGAGAAAAAACTAACATAATCCGAATAGCCATTCCTTCTTTCTCAGCGGGGGCAYCATAACCTGATCTGTTTTTCTTCACTGTTGGAGAACATGTTCCTAGCAGCTCTGCAGTTAGGCTGTAGAAAGGTGTGGAGTACAGTAGGATGGGAACATTTGCCTGCTTTGTTGTTTCTTTTCTGAGTATTTATCTGGTAGAAAGAGAAGAATGAGGAGACATGAGGATTTGTTTTGCCTTCATGGTACTTACACCAGGGTGGTTGTTTCGTTTTGAGACAGGCTTGCTAAACCAAGTGTGAAAACTTCAGTTTGTATTGAACAAAATGTGCTGCTTTACTCTCTTAAAGACAAAATGTGATATTAGGTTGCAGTTTACTTATTATCAAAGCTAATTATTGTCTCTTCCTACAGCAAAATAGGTAAGCATTGACCCTGGTGCCAGGAGGATTCTTAATGAAGCTATTATTTAGATCCATTTTATTAGACTTATCCTATTAAATTTGTGACAGACAAATAAATTTACAGTACTGGTTCCTACGTGGCTTATTTCATATTAATGTTGAGGTGGCTGATTTGGAACTCTCCAGGATTTTTTTTTCATATTATGTAAGAATTTTATTGTTGCTTCAGGCATATCAGGGAGGATAAATTACTTGCTCTCTCCCCCTCACCACCTCCAATTGCTCATTTATGGACTTTCTTCCTTTTCTCTAAATCTCTGTAAACAACTGATGTTTCAAGGTTTAACTACACCTTTTGCTCCCTTTTTTTTTAAATTTTAAATGTCCCTTGGACTGCTATTCTAGAATGTAGTATGTTTTTTATGTTTGCAAGTTGCATTGCATATTTTGCTTTATTTTTATATAGTACTGGGCACACATGCTTTGAAATAGTTGTCAAATGGTGAATGTTTTTATATGAATTTGGTAGATAACTTTATTACTACAGGTTTTCTTTTAAAGAATTTTATTGATGCATTCAAATGTATGTTTGTAATTCCAGGTTGATGCAATTGAGTCTGAACCAAAGAGCTTTATCTTTATGAGTGAAGATGCATTAATAAATCCTGACAAGCTGTTGGTTCTGATTCATGGTAATGGTGTTGTCAGAGCTGGTCAGTGGGCTAGGAGGCTTATAATTAATGAAGATCTGGACAGTGGCACACAGATACCGTATATAAAGAGAGCTATTGAGGTAAGTGGAAGTGCATGAATGCAAGACTGTGTGTGCTGTGGATGTGCATGTGTGTGCCTGTATATGAAGAGCTGTGAACCTGCGATGTTTTAACTTTTTAATCAGTGTTCTATACTTTACTGTATGATTGTTTTATTTGTGATGGAAATATTTGTTTGGTTTTAATGGAAGATTTTTCCAGTGGAACCAAGTTAATATCTTGCAGTAAAAACAAATTAAGTTTCATGTCAGGTTGTGTCAGGACTGCCATGTATTTTAATATGGCAGATACTATAAGAGCCATTAGCAGGTGATGGGATACAGTAGAAGACACTACAGAAATTTGTTTTCTTTTAGATTTCATTAAATTAGTACATATTCTCACTCAATGCCTATTATAACAGATGTGAGTTCTCATGATAACAGCAGTCTTTTTTACTAGGCTTGCACTGAATTTTGTTGGAGGCACCATCTTTTTCCGATTTGCACTAAATACTGATTCATTCTGATTTACTTACCATTCCTAGACAGTAGAAGACATTCACATTTTATTGACATTATTTTGTTTCATCTGTTTGAGAGCTAGTGGACAGTTTGTGTTATGTTTTGTCATTGTGACTTTGTAGGTGTAATTCTTCATTTGCACCCTGCTATCTAAGTGAAACTTCCTGTAGTAAACATTAGAAGAGCCTATTTAAGACTCATTATTTCTATTATATTTGCCAAGTTAAGCTACTGTTCTACTATAAATATCAGTGTTGTCACTGTTATTGTTTCATATTTTGCTAGATGATTAATTTTTGTGGTTGATGATAATTTTTGCAGCTGTCTTTAAAGTAACCAGGATAAAAAAATGATGCAAAGAAAGAAAACATATATGAAGCATTAGGCCATTAAGTTAATATTTGCTTGTTTTACCCTCTGTCAAAGCACCAGACTACACTTCATGAGAAAAAGAAACCTAACCCTCTGAAAGTGAGGCGTGTATTTTTCTAACAAAGTTTTTTATTAATTTTAAATCAAGATTCAGAGACAGAACAAAAAGTGCTTCAGGATTACTGAGTGCAGTACTGGGTGTTATGGTATGTCCAGTATGGGTCGACTAGTCCAGGTTCCAAAACCTTTCCCAAGGAACACAAGCAACAGTAGCTACCTCAATTTTTTGTAGCACATTCTGTTCCTCCCKAGAGATGCTGCTGTCTTGGATAGGAGGAGAGATTGAGTATTTCAAACTGGGATATTAACCCTAGTTTAACAGGTTAAATAATTCTTACGGGAGTATTTCTGCTAGAGTTACATTTATTTTTGCTGGTTTGTTATTTTTATTTATTTTATGCAATGATTTGTGTCAGTATGACAGAGATTGAACCTGTTCTCTCAAATAGTTATTATACTTAAAATCAGATTATTTATCTCTGCATTTTTGATGCTTCTTAAAAAAAAAAAAAACAGGAAGAAGTCCCAGTTGTTGGATGAGAAAATATTTTTATGAAAATGTAATCATTAGATTACATTGGTATATCAAACTTTGTGTTCCTATCTTTGAGTTTTCCCTTAATACAATTTTTAGATTAGTAGTTTTCTTGAGTTCAGGAATTCCAGCTTCTGTGAAGCCCACTGTCCCTTTTTGTGCATCTTAAAATTCTGATAAATGTACTACATGTTTAGGAGACATACTATTTGCAATTACTTTTTTTCATGGAAAATGAACAATAGATTGTATTCCATTGTGTTAAATTAAATTATGTTGTTTCATTAAATGTGTTGCAATTTTTTTTGTATCCTGTAATCACTATAGTGTGAGTTGGTTACGTATCTTATTAGATAAGGCAATATTTTATGGAAGTTGGACCCCACTGGAAATGTTTAGAATCATTAGGTTATGACTGAAAAGAGAGTATATSCAGGTACAAGCTGATATCACTTCATCCGTACAAATCATATAAATTACATTTCTAAATGCAGGAAATTATGGAAGACTGAGTGTAAAGACTCCTTATAATAAAAATAGTAATAAAAACTGCATCCATTTCTGGTTTTCTGGTGTTCAGTTGTCAGGTTGATTTAGGCACTTTTGTCTCTTATGAAATGAAAATAACTAGCCTAGGTGATGAATAGCCTGAATGAAAATTGTGCTGACCCCTCATGCAACACTGTTTGAAGTAAGGAATTTTTTTTTAAGATCTTTCTGTGTTTCTTCTAAGGAAAGGTCTCATTCTTGAATGAAACCAGCAGACCTTATCAAAGCGTCAGTTCTGATGACAAGAGAACATGGGTTTTTTTTCTAATAGACTTGCATGTATTTGAAGTGRATAATGATACCTAGGATTTGAAAATCCCAGTGATTGGTTGACAGGCACTGCAGCCAGCTTAAAACATTTGCTAAAGACTGAGTTTTAATTTAAAAATAAAAATTAAAAATTTCAAAAGTGCTTGAATGTCTTAGGTCAAGAGGTCATTCAGAAATACCTGCTTTTCTTTAAAAAAACCCCAAACACACAAGAAAAACACCACCCTCTAAGAAGGCCAAAACCCACAACTTTTTCTCTGCTGCTTTTCTCTGTGCTTCTCTTCTCAGTTCATTTCTTGCAAAAACCGAAAACAGGGATGCAACAGTTGGAGTTATCAGTGAGCAGTGGATTGAGCCAGATGTACTGTTACTTCTAAGCAAGAAGTTAAGGGAAGAGTAGAAACCGCCTTTCTCTGATACAACTTTTGAGAAAGAATTAAGAAACCCTACTTTTCAAACATGTATGAAACAAAGGGAGCGATGTACAGGCTTAAGTTCTGTATTTTAAAATTCTAGTCTGTTGATGCTGTTGCACATTGCACATTGTAAAGAAATATCCTGGTGAGAATTCAAATAGCTAGAAATAATATTCCTTCTTTTCATCTGTGCAATCCCTATAGGTGATGCTTCTCCTTCCATGTTTTATATCAAGCTCTGTTGTGTAGATTGATCTTTTGTGTAAGAGGTGTTGTGTTGTGAGTAGTTGACAAGGGTTCATGTGAAGTGGTAACATTATTTTGTTAAGTTGAAAATTCAGACTTGGTAATATAAAAGAGGTATAGAAATACAAATAAGGAGAACAAGTAAGTAACTAGATGGAGAGCAGACTGTAGGAAAAGAAGGAGGGAGAAAATTGTACACAATGTGAAAAACACATGTAAATACATTAAAACATGGTAGGACTCTTATTTTAGAAAAACAAGTCTGACAAAGACAAATCTGCTAATAAAGCAGTAAGACTAACAAAAGCTAAACTAAAATAAAATGAATGCTTATTAATGAAGATATTTAAAACAAAATAAGCTGGCAATATCCTGTAAATACATTACAAAAATATTGCATAGATTCATTGCCTTATTAAAATAAAAATTTTATATTGAAACTTTCTGCAGTGACAGATACTGATTTTTGACAGAAGCAGTTCTCTCATGTGTGAGAGACTGAAGTTCAGGTCCCTCCCCTGGGAATGAGAGAGCATTCCATTTATAATGAGAATTCTGAGCTGAAGATATTCTACTTTTTATAAAAATATATTGAAAAAAATAAATAGATTAGAAGAGTAATTTTAATCTGCCTCTTCTGTATTTTGCCTAAAAGGCTTGTCCAGGTTGGTACTGTCAGGCTACTCTCAGATCAGTTATTTTGTCATGTATTTAATACCGGAAGCTGTGCCAGGAAAAGGTGATGAGAGAGATAAATCCTTCAATTTAGTGATGAGGGTGTTGGCTTGGGAGGTCAAGAATTAAGCATTTACATTCCTGGTTTCATGATGGTTGTTGAGGGGCTCCCATATTCACTGTGTTAGAGAAGAAGCTGAAGTTATAGTTAGGAGGAAATTTATTCTTTGGGGAAACAGGAGCTCGGCTTCTCTTGGTTGGACATGGTGATTAATTTTGGGGTGCTATTATCTTTGATACCTCTCCTTTACAGAAAAAAGAGGATATCAGTTTACTGATGAATGTTTTCTGTGGCTTTGGAGATTCGGTGTATTTGTTACCTAAGATTGCTGTGGTGCCGGGGATGATAATAAAATTCTACCACAACAACTGCAGCCTATTGAATTAACAAAAAAAAAAATAAGTTGAAAACCACTGGACAATTGTTGCCTGATTTCAAATTTAGATACTAAGATACCTTTCTTAGATACTTGTATTATTACTTAAAGAAGAAATGATACTTGATATATACCCAGAAAATAGGTTTTACAAAGAACCTGGGTAAGTTTTTCAGAAGAAATAGATAATTCTTTAATGACTGATAAAACATGGTTTTTTGCTTCAGTATTTTGTTGTATTTATTTCACTTTTTTTTTTTTTTTTTTTTTTTTTTTTTTTTTTTTTTTTTTTTTTTTTTTTTTTTTTTTCAATCTTTGTTCTCTTTGGTCATAGTACTGGATTTATTCACTTACATTAATGCCATTCATTTGCACAAAACTGTCAGGTTTGCAGTATTTACTAATAATTGGTGAGGGTTATTACTTTTATCAGCACACAGTAACATGTCATTAGTTTTGTAAGGCAGTTGAATGGAACAACAAAATCGTTCAGTGTAACAGCAGTAAATTTTCCTACCATAACTTTTATGTGGTTTAGATTACTTGATAGTTAGTAACTATTATAATGCATACTATTTTTTATTTTGTGTTTTCTTTCCACTTCATAAAAATCAATTATTTTCAATAGTAGATATTACATATTTTTGCCCAGAAATTATGTTTTGTTTAAATTACACTGATAAAAATGCTTGCTAAAAAACTTTTAAATCTCACTTTTAAGTATAAAATATCTTAGTTGTTAGACAAACATCCTCTTTAGTTTTTCTTATAGTTTATACAATCTTAGCATCACATCAATAATATGGGCAAGTGGCACTTTCTGGAAAAAAAAAACAGCTGACTTTTCACTGCAATTGCAGTTCCGCCATAGAATATTAACATTTATGTGCCTTTTATGTGTCTTCAAAGTATATTATTACAGAAAGAAGTTAAAATATCTCATTTATTTATTATCTG